CGGACTTAGCGACACGGTCGCTGAAGTACTTTGCCTTAATCTCGGCATCGAATATGTGAATTTCTCTCGTCAGAGGTTCTACCGGGAGCTGCAGACACTGAACATCGTAGTCCCGAGGATTATGGTTTCTTACAGACTTAAATTCGTCTAAGAGTTCTTTCTGCTAAGTACTTTGTTGGTTGTGAAGGTTAGCTTTTTATTAGTATCGGATGGATGCCTCGGCTGTGGTTAAAGAGACGGAGTCTGGTAGATTTAATGGTAAAGTCAAGCGCAGCTAGGGAAAATGTGATTCATCAACTGTGGGAGTACATGAGCAAAAGCTAGAATAAAGTAGTGTGTGGAAGAGGGTAGAACTGATGAGAAAGCTTGTTGTTGAATGTGTTGATAAAATTTAGTCGGGAGGTTAATTAATGGTGAGGGGCGTAAATAAATGATAAGTAAGGATGGGTTTGGTGTCGTGTTGCGAGGCTAGACAGATTTACTGATTAATAGGCTCCACTACATGCCAAAAATATTGCAGCGTAAATATTGAGCAGGCGTTTCGGTTTTATAGTGAATATGTTGAATTATAGTTGAACTTTGATTCTTTTTTTATATACTATTTTTCGTTACCTATATGCCCTGATCGGTTTATAATAGATAGACGCGATTTTTGGCCGAAAATTTTGAAAGCAAAATAAACTTTAATTGAGGCTATCATAGTAACAGTAAATCAAACGAATTACTTTTTGTATACGATCCTTTCGTCATTACCTCCTCTACAATGTGGCCAATGAAATCTCTAGTCTGACCAATGACCTAGATTGATCGAGCTTATTGTCATCTGCTGCCTTACTCAGCTTTAAATTTTGAAGGCATCTATAAAATGTCTCTCTTTTAAGCATCATTTCTTGCATTTATAAAGCATAATTAAGTGTGACTAGAGTTTTATAAAGATTGATAATTTTTAAAGGTCGTATGAACAAGGAAGTCATCATTGACATAAGACTCAGTATTCTTCACCGGAGTAAAATAAGCCCCGCAATCAGATATATTGGGAAAGTTAAATTTTGCTTTATTCACGGGTCACTGGTCTGATGCTGGAAATCACGAATCTTATGACAGAGGATACATGACTTTGTACGTTCTACGAGGTCTCCCTGACGCTCCCGCCCAGTTGCGAAAGCGAAGTTGAACCAACACTTTGAAGCTAAAGGAGACTGCAGCCAAACTGAAGGCCATACTATCTTGGTCTCTATATCTACGATTTACTTGATTCAAAGTAAGATTTTGTTTGAAAACTATGCTAGAGAAGATTTTTATCATAATATGTGAAGGTTAATCAAAGACTAGTTTGAATTTTTCATTCGATTTCTTTAATAATCTAGAATCCTGTCTATCAAATAATCTCATATAAAGAAGCTCGTATTTAATGACAAGCCTGATATGCCTCATTATAACATTTTACTTTGCTGAGCCCTGATTTCCTCTATTCTCTAACCTACGCAACCGGTTAACAATTAGCTAGCCTTTAATCTGCTAAGGCCTAGGGATTTAAATTTAGTACTCTTTTTTCCCCCCCACTAATTTTATGATTTCTAAATATCTTTAAAGGACTCATTACTCAGTCACATCAGCAAAGTTCTCACTAGCTCCTGTCTCGGGTTTTCTGGCTCCGGCGCTGTATCATCGTCGACATCGACTTCAAGTAGCACATCTTCAGGTGTCAGCTCCACTAGTAGTCTACGGCACAACGGACCTACTGGCGGCGCGGCCAGTAGTATTATGGCTTTTCTAGGCGTATCTCCGGCATCCCTGGGCTGGGTCACTGGTGGAAGTGGCATTGGCAATGTGGGAGGAACTGGCTCGGGAGCTGCAAGCGGTGTGACTGGAACTGGGGGAAGTTGTAGCGGAGTCGGGGATGCGCACGCCACGTCCATAGCTGCTATGTTTGCCAGTCATTCCACTTACCATCAGCAGCACCAAGCTTGGGGCCTGGCAGGTGCTTGTATAGCAGGAGTGGGAGCTAGCCGAGCTGGCTGGTTGGGTCACTACCCTCGGCTTACTGCAGCGTCTCCAGCTGAAGGCCTATTATCCGTCATCTGTGCTCCTCCTGAGGCCTCGACAGAGGCGCTTATAGTGGCATTGGCACTCAAGTCACTTGGCGAATTCGAATTTGAGGGTAAGTTGGTTACCAATACGCTTTTTATTTTATTTTATTTATCGTTATTTTCCTTATCGATCTATGCTTTTTTGTCCTATTTCCTAAGTAATTCAGAAAATATTATATTTTCGAAGATATGAAGACCAAGATGGTGTGACCTTTTGTGTGGTCGCAGTCTCCTGACGTTGTATAGAGGTTGTTTGACCTTGTTTTCGCAGCTTCGTCATATTGGTAGGAAGACTTAGAGGAACACACCTATTCTGGAGTCCATTGTATGCATAATCATTTCCAAAGTCGGACGTGGTATATTCCCAGACGTTTCGCCGGCAACGTCAGTGAGTCCTGCCATTCTTAGCACCGCACTATAACTCGTTAAAGACACAAGTGAATGCCGATACCTTGAACAAATGTGTGCTAAACAGTTGTGGTATCTCTCCTGTCCTGGGCCATTCACCTTTCCTATATCCTCGTATCACGCCTTCACTATCAAAATTTTTAAAATACTTGATTATTTAAATATATTGTGGTGTGCCCTTTTAAGCGGCTTTCATGAGGGCCCTCCACACTTCATGCTGGTGTTCTTATCCTTCTTCACCCTTGTGCTAGAAATGTTGATCAGTCTGCCATATTGTTACGCCGTCCTTTTTCCATAGGTCTTATGAGAGTATCCCTCTTGCGCCGTAGGTTCCGTTTGCTATCTCCCTGGTTCAAGTATTTCACTCGCCCCTGCCACCCCATCTATGCTCTACAAGGCGTTATTACCCATCCCCTGCGTCTAAGTGACTAATTCGAGGCTATACCCTCTGAGTAAGTCTCATGGCCAAACCTTTGCTACATGGACCATGTCTATGGTAAAACAGTCCTACTGTCAGCCAACTAGCCCTAGTCTCTGCCGCGTCTATCCTGTTACTATTCGTAATACAAAGTCTATGACTTGCTATGCCCCAGTCTCTTGTGTGCCAACTCCAAAACGTTGTGGTTCAACATCGAACTTAATAAAAGCAGGCAGTACTGACGATGCCGGCGAAACGTCTGGGAATGTACCACGTCCACGGTCAGGCTGGAAATTATCATGCATACAATGGACTCCGGACTAGGTGCGTTCCTCTAAGTCCTTCTACCAATATGACCAAATTGTGAAAGAAGGTCAAACAACTTTTTCAATCTTATTTTTTGCTAATTAATCGTATCTAGTCGACGGCTTGTTTGCCCATTAGATTCGATTACAGTCTGAAGCACTGCCCTCATATCCTCTTACCAGTTATTTTGGCGAAACCGTCTCAATATATGTAATATAAACAGGATTTTTTTACAAATTTTATGAGAGTCCATCTGGCTATATTCTCATTCTTTATTTCTAACCAAAGTACCTGGACATCTTTGGATCTGTGTAGTTTTATTCTCTTACTCCGGTGGCACATAAAATGTCAGCAGCCATTATCACCATTTTCAAATTCTTTTTCCCTTTTCCGATTCTTTGTGAGAATTTAGTTATTGTGGGCC